TTATTCCCCATGGCCGCCATGTTGTAGGGCAACACTCCCAGATCCCTTCATTATTCAACCAAGTTCAATTTGTTATACTGGTTACTGAGGTCAAGTTAACACTATTTTTCTTATTAAAATACGTTTGTTAAAGCTTCTATTAATTCACAATCTTGAGATTGTAAATATTTTCCCCCATATATTTCTGGCATGCAAGTTTAAAATTGGTTGCTCAAACAGGAAAATTCACTGCTTTGCCCTACAAGATGGAGGTCAAGGGGAATAACTCCGAGGCAAAATATGTCAAAGGAGAACCATCTATAGCTGTTCCAGCCTGCATTGTGATGTTAAAAACATCATAGCTGTCCAACATCTCATCAACAGGTCCATAATCTGTGATGGACTTCTCAAAAAAACATTTGAACTAACTGAAAATTGCATTCCAGGTAGCTTTGGAAACAATTAATTAACAAACACAATATAAGTCTGATAAATATGCTTTTAATTTTTCATGGCTTTCAATAAGAGAAACATCCATCATGATTTTAATAGCAATGCAAATAATATATTAATATTGATAAACATCATGATAAATATTTGACCAATAAATGGACATTCCCAATGTAATTATATTGATTGTGCCATTAAGTTATAGAACTACAACCCTATCAAACATTGTTAGCCAATACTTGATGTGAAAAAGACCCCTTAAATGTCCAAATCCTTTTGTGCTGCATAACACAACATCAATTTTAATTGTGCAGCAATGTGAGATTGGGATAAGTAATAGATTGATCTTGTGTTCATGAGACACTCTCTGATTCAGGAGATAAAAAAAGTCTACTCCATGTCTCTTACAGTTTATACAAACAACTGAATCAAGGTCTCTCTACACAATCAGCATGTCACTGGAGGAAAAGAGAAGAGTATATTGAGGAAACCAGTCAGGTAAGCTCACTTCTTACAAACTCATAATGAAACACAGTAAAACAAACTTATAGGGATGTCCCAAGGGTAAAAAAGTTTTGATTCATTATAAAATACATGTGATTTGTTACATGCATGTACCCGGTATATCAGTTATGAGTACCGTTTGTTTTAAAACATTAGAGAATGAAATCCATTCCTCCTTATGGATGTAGGTGTGGAGTCATTTAACATTTAAGTATGTTTGCAGTAATCATGTTTTAACTGTATATATAAAAATGTGACTAAAAATATACAGCAATAAAGAATGATGTCATCTCTATTACAGTAGAGATACAAAGTGCAAATTTTGCTGTATATGTCAATAGATTTATTGTCAAGCACCTGTTTAGAGTTTTTATGGTTCTGGTGTTATAAGAGAATTTTGTTTTTGCCCTTTTTTGTAAGATCTCTCGCTGCAAATCTTATCTCCAATTCTTACCTGGTAGTTTATATTTTGTGATCAGTTCAGTTTCAAAAAAAAATATTCAAGAAATACTAATGAAAGTTGATGACGTTGACCTAACTATTAATTTACATCTAGCAGATGTAAGAAGAAACTCTTCATAATATTTTCATCAAAACCCATTTCTGATATATGTTGTTTTGAAGTACGCTATATATGAAGTAAAACTTGAAATCTGTCAGAAATCTATTAATCACTATAATATTGAGATAGAATTATGGTCAACCACCGCTATGAATATATTGTTATATTGCAGCCATAGTGATGATATGAATCCAAACTAACTTAATTTTCCCCTCTCTGATTCACCCTTGAAATGACAAATTATAGGTCATTACAGTTTACTTACATCCCCCTGCTCTTCCTAATTCAAAGCCCGGAAATTGGAATATCTTCAGAGGGAATGGCAGAGGTAAAACTTGTAAAGCACTGATTAGATTGGATGAAAGATTCAGAAGGCTAACATATAGTCAATGAAAAGGAAAGACGAAACATATGGTATTTTAGAGCATTGATGAAAAAGAAAACCTTCTGTCTTATTTCTATAGGGTTTATTGGAAGTATAAAATAAACAGTGTATTAACACAACTGATTCATCCATCATTGTAAGCATTAAGGAACTGTATTTACAATAAGGTTTTTTTTATTCATTCATATAAACTTGTGAGAACGAACTTTATTTTACATTATTACTCTGTGCTGGATTCATATCAATTCAAAGAGTACTTACACAAAAAAGCTCAGTGTTCATTAAAAAGAAAAAAGTTTTATGAGATTGATAACAATAACCCCATAGGGTGGACAGAAAACTCAAAACTTTAAAAAGAAGATCAATTGACATTAGACAACGAAAAACTTTCAGGAAAGATTACTATGTTTCTATTGTGGGAGTGTGACTCAGATTTCTGAATGAAAGTTACCTGAAGGAGCTGCACCTTGAGGTAAATAAACTATCGGCATGTTATCGGTTCTCGGCAGTGAATCTGATTAATAGCTTATATCTGTAGCAGTGGGAAGTGCACGTGCAGGCAGGTAGAAGATCTACCTGTTAGTGTTTGTCATGGGCAAAATGAAAAGCTATGCTTTTGTGGGGAATAACCTGGGTAGTCTGGGGGAAAATTAATGGATGCATGTGAGTGTGGTCTGAATATTTCTTGCAAGAGGTATACATGCAGTTAAGGATACTAGTAAAAGTTGGTGCTTGAATATTTTAACAAATAAAAAAAAATCTTTCTATGGTATAAAATTTTATCTTACAATTTTATAATTTGAGTTACAAATTTCTTCAAGGGTTTTCCACAATATCAGTTTTGCATTTGAAGATGTACACAAGTACCATTGCCAATGTTAGAGTAATAAAATTTAGGTTTCAATTATTGCTCTTGAGTAGGAAATATTCTATGTTATCTTTAGCTATTCTTAAGTAGCATAGATTATATAGAATGGAAGATATGCATTCATTAATTTTAACCCAAAAAAAACTCTTTAATTCACATGTATCATTTTTGCTAAAATTCTTTAGGAAATATATTTAAAAATGTTTATGTGAAATAAATGATATTGACTTGTTAGGGTTAATTTGATTTCTGGAATCTCTGTATACAATTAAAACTGATAAACCAACAAATAACTCCCTGAAATCAGATAAATGTTACATTAATATTCTGAATTCTGACCTAGTGTTTGGGAATCTCCACAACTCTAGCATTATATTGAAAACTGTCAGAAAATATTCAGATTTAATTGATACCTGCTGTGATAAATCGTCAATTTGACACCTGATAATAAAGCTAGAAAGTGACCAAGCCGTAAAGCCCCCAAGGTCATCAGATAGCCTGAGGGGATCTGAAGCAGGGGTAAGGACCCATAAAATCCTCCAGTGCAGAGGCAGTATTTCAAAGAGGGATATTCACTGATGGGAAGATTATTTATTGGAAATAGGCAATTTCTAGCCTCTATTCAGAATACAGCATGCTTTTGGCATATGTGCAGTTTTGATTAAGCTTGATTAGGTGCCTGAGAGCAATCATACACTCAGGAAGTGGAAGAACATATACACATGTAAAAATATTGTCTGTCGATGGTATGTCACTTTTCACTTTCTATTGCTTTTTAATATTTTACCAATTTAAGTTTATTTTTGGTGCTGAATATTTGTAAATCTGGTAATACAGTGTTATTCAGAATTAGAGATTGAAACTGTAAGCATGTAAAGAGTAGTTCAACTTTTATATCAAGTATTATGTTCTAATGAGGATGCAATTGTGTTGAATTGGAAAGAAATATTAAGTAAAAGAAAGAAAGTGTAATATTTTTTCAAAAAATTTGAATGATTAGGAATCTTGGCAAATGCAGAAAAAAAATTATTTGACATCTAATTAAGTGATCAATGTATAAGATTGTGATTGATACTTAGTATGACAAGAAGACAGTGTTGCAAAGCTTTGAAGCTTTATGCTTTGTTAAACCATGAAAGAAGGTCTAAAAACGAATTTGTGCTATCAAAATTATAGTAAATGATCCACATACTAGTACTGTCTAAATATATTATAGTGAGTGAGTTGATTGTAAATGAAGAGATTAATTCTCAGTACAAGATTTCGTACTGTAACTTTTTTCCTGCATGAGATATATTTGGATGTTTTTAACTTCCTGTTACTGAAAATTATGGTATAGTCTGGGACAAAAATGCCAGAGGGAAGATTTCAAACAAGCAATGTAACCTACTAATCCATTAGTTCCTGCATTTTACATTGAGAGCTATATACAAATGTATTTATGAAGCCTTGAGATGAAAAATATATGTTCTCTGTTCATATTGCATATGTTTGACATGCAAAAAAATCTTTTTAGAAGACGAATGATTCACAATTTGTAGAAAGATTTGTCTTTTAATTGTTTGAATTTGACCTTTAGGGAGTATGGTAGAGTTATGTTGATTTGTAGCCATGTCCATCTAGAAATTTTAACTAGTTTTCAGGGATCGGGGAGGTGGGTGGTGGGGGGAAAGACATGCAGCGTCCTGTTTAAATCATGGGATTAATCAGGAAATATTACTAGTTTTTAGCAGAAAGTGGAGATGAAATTTATGTTAAGTTATCCTAGAACACAAAATTGAAGGTGAATCTTTGTTAAAGTTGAAATTTTATAAAGAAACTATAGAGTTATCTCTCTTGCACACATTCATTTTGATTCTAAGAAAAAAATAATCTTTTAAAATGTTTTAAATCTTGAAAAAAAAATTGATAAATAAAATAATTCCAAGAGCAATGAAAAGGGGTGTAGAGTATCACTTCGTAAAATATCATACCAATCCTGATATAAATAAGTACTCACTGACTAACACATCAACTTGCAAAAAATCATGTTACTACAGATCTATTTTTTTGCAAGGGAAAATTAACACTTTTTAATAAACAGCAAACACAATCAATTCTGATTAGATTTTAATTAGTGTGAAAACGAGCATGAAAGGTGTGCTGGCCTTTGATGTTCAGTTATGTCTCTCTGTGTAATAAGCATGTATATGAAGCTATTTAATGGACCCTTTAGCCACCAGGAACTTCTGGTCAGAAGAAGCACATAACAGCTGATATATAATCAGAACTAGGTAAACTAGCTCTCTACAGTCAGTCTTTGCTGTCAAACCAGGGTACAATGAAGAAATTAGAGGTGATCGTGGGAATTACCATCGGCCTATTTGCCATCTTGTCCACTATGGTCAGTGGTCAGTCCCTGATTGGAGGGGGCAATAGTCTGACCATGCCCATCTACCCCGGGGTCGCTGGGGGAGCTGGGTATGACCCCCTTCTGTACAATAGTTACGCGGCAAATGAGCAGCTGTTTGGACTGTCTAATTCCATCACAGATCTAAAGCAAACCGTGATCATTGGCTTTGGTAAGTACTTTTTATATTTGAATTTTTTATTTAATTCACTCAAGTTCTAAAATTGTCTATTCTTCCGTTTTTGGGGGTTTTTTTTGGAATATAAATGAAATAGTTGACCTAATTATTTTAAGTTTGAAAGAGAAAAACACAAAGTGAACAAGCACTTGTATTGCTATCCCACACAGCTTGTGGATAAGCATTTTATGATATTGATGGGTATTCTTACCGGTATTTCTGAGAATTGGCTAGCCACAAGAAGCAAGTGTGTAATTTATTTTGAAGTGACCTTTATGAATACCGTAAATTTGGAAATTTTTGCGTCGATTTTATATTGCGAATTCGGATCAAAATGCTGTTGATAAATTTTTAAGTTTCAAAATTTTGCGAATGACCACTGCTTTGTTTATGTTTTCTTATTGGTAATTTATTTTTAAGTAAAATATTTTTTGTGAATGCAATGAACTCACAAATTTGCTAAAAATTTATCTACAGCAAAAAATTCCAGATTTACAGTATAGTCACAGTGATACTGGAAATGGGGATCTCATGTATATACATTGTATAAACTTTTCCTGTTTACAGTTGGCCTTGCGCTGTATTTATACTTCCTGACTAATTCCAGTGTGGGAGCAGTGCCCACCGGTTCTATTCCACCTATCGTTGGTTAAACTCTGCTGCAATAAAAGGTAAGCTATCCAAGACTTCATCTACATTATCTTACTTAGGGTCCTTCACTCAGCCTCACTGAATGGTGCTTTAAGTGGTGCAGGATTTACATTCTACCAAACATAAGCTCTCTGTAGTAGAATTTGGCTTGAGAGTCACATAGTAACCATTGTGCATTCATGGTATAGTTGATAGTGTGTTGAAGCAAAAATGCTATGAAGTTGACAATGTGGTGTTAAGAAAGAACCATGGTGCACAATGACAATGAAGCAATATGGCATGATAATGCATTGAAGATGATAAGATTGTATGAAGGTGCAATGGCAGTACAACAGGATAATACCATGGCAATGATGTCTTGATGCCATGTAGTTGATGTCTTGATGCCATGTAGAATTTTATTTGCTCAACTGAGCTGAAAGCTCATGTTAGCTTCTCTGAGCACCTGTTTGTGATCTTTCTGTCTGTAAACTTTTCACATTTTCAACTTTTGATAAAGAACCACAAACCCAATTTTATCCAGAATTAGTACAAAGCATCCTTTGGAAATGGAGAGTTTAGATATTAAAATAAAGGACCAGGCCTCATGACAAGGGAGATAATAAAGAAAAGATAAACATTGGTTTTGGTCAGAAAAGCTGAAATATGTAGAAGCCTCCTAGGATAGTGTTAATTCAGAATGTTTCAAATCATGACCCCCAGGGAGGGTAGGACCACTAAAGGGATTCAAAGTATTGATTTGAAATACATAGGAAATTAAGAAGACTGGGTGGTTGTGGCCACCAGACTATTTTGATCTCCTAGAAGAAGAGCTTTATATAAAGATATACAAAAATGATCAAAATTTTAAACAAGAGGCTTATGGGCCTTATAGGTCACATGAGTATCATGTAAGAACTTTCCAACAACTGAATTTGGTTTGTGTTTTAAACCAGATTCCATGAAATTCACAATTTTGAAACAGGCACCATTGTTTATCATTGAAATAACTTACTATGCTAACTTTGGTCACTTAATACCCAGAAGTAGATCAGAGTAACAAAGAGAAAATGCATTACCACTTTATAATCAGTTGTGCAACCCACCCCACAGGAACCACTGACCCTGGGGCCACATATTTTAAAGTTTGGAAATGTTATCATAATTTCATCATATCATAAATGGTTGAATAATACCAAAGAGCAGATTTCAAAGCATTATTTTATTTTCAGACTATGTCAGACACCCCCCTTCTCCCATACCCTTGACCCAGGAGCCCTGAAATTAACCATTTTAAGATAATTGGCATAATACCCAGGAGCAAAGGAAAAGATTTTCAAATAATTCATACATTTTCACTTTGTCATCATTAGAGCCCACCCTAACACCAGAACCCCTGACTCAGGGGGCCTGAAATTCATAAATTTGGAAAGGGGATCCTTCCTCATCCTAACTATGTTCATAGTTTATTGGTTTAATACCAAAGAGCAAAGGAAAAGAATTTTAAAGAAATAGAGCCCCACCCTAACACCAGAACCCCTGACCCTGTGGCCATGAAATTCACAATTTTGGAAGAGGCACTCTTGCTCTTCATAACTATGTGCTTAGTAAGTTTATTAAATAGCCAGGAACAGAGAAGAGTTTCAAAGAATTTATGTATTTTCACTATATAATCAATGGAGCCTTGTCCTAACACCAGAACCCCTGACCCTGGGGCTATGAAATTCACAGTGTTGGAAGAGGCAGTCTTGTTCAACATAACTAATGCATACTGGGTTATTTTGTCCTTTCACAATTGCAGACAAATATGCCACATTTTCAATTTGCCCAGTCATAGTTTTATTAGCTCACCTGAGCTGATCACATTTTGTCCAGTGTCAGTCTGTCTGTCTGTAATCTTTTAACAATTTCAACTTCTTTTCCTGAATCACTGGGCCAATTTCAACCAAACTTGCCCACAGAACATTGTTCGGAGAAAGGAATTCAAATTTAAATGAAGAGCCATGGCCTTATACAAGGGGAGATAATTTAGAAATAGTGAAAATTTGGTGGCATATTTTAAAATTCTTCTTCTCAAGAACCACTTTGCTAGGAAAGATGAAACTTATGGGGAACATCATCAGGTAGTGTAGATTCAATTTTATTCAAATCATGACCCCGGGGGGTAGGGCGGGGCCACAATGGCCGATCAAAGTTTTACATAGAAATATAAAGGAAAATTCTTAAAAAATCTTCTTCTCAAGAGTAGCAAAGCCATGATTAGTCATATTTATATGAAAGCATCCTCAGGTAGTGTAGAATGAAGTTTGTTCAAGTCATGACCCGTGGGGTTAGGGTGGGGCCAAAATGGCCCATCAAAGTTTTACATAGGAATATATAGGAAAAAAATTTCAAGGACAGCAAAGCCATGATTGGTCATACTTTACTTGGGGGGGGGGGGGCACAATGTAAGTTCAGATGTAAAGGGCAATAAAGCCATAGGTAGTCAAAGGAATATGCAAACATCCTGGGTTAGTGTAGATTCATGTTTGTTCAGATCATACCCTCTCCCCTTTAAGGATTGGTTGGGACCACTTTTGGGTTTCAACTTTTGCCCTGTTTTAAATTAGCCCAGTTGAAGGTAGGTTGAAAGGGGCAAAAATAAATTGGGGGCAAAATGTTCCCTTGTACTTGGTTAGTTTATTTAATACCCAGGAGCAGAGAAGAAGAATTCCAAAGAAATGCATTTTCACTACATCATCTATTTAGCCCTGTCCTAGCAGTAGGATCCCTGACCCTGGGGCCAAGAATTGCACAATTTTGGTAGAGGACTCAATGCTGATTACAATCATGCCAACAGTTTGACTGTTTGATGTCCATGAGAAAAGAAAAAGATTTAAAGATTGCATTAATTTTAGTGGTTTTGGCCCTACCTGTTATTTCCCAGGGGGACAGGGACCATGACATTTACAATTTTTGTTCCCCATCACCCATAGATCCTTTATGCCAAAATTGGTTGAAATTGGTTGGGTGGTTGCAGAGAAGAGGCTGAAAATGTTTAAATGTTCAGATAGCAATAGGTCACCTGAGTTTACTGCCTCTGGGCCTCTTTGTTTTAGAGATGAAAAAAAAATGAACATGATATTTATTTCCCCTATCATTCTATTCTTCACACTAAGCAAGTTTATTATTGTATCTTGATTAATTGCTTAAATAAGGGTGTTTGGATTCAAATACATGTATAAAGGCTCCATGTATGCTGCTTAACCAATTGCATAATAGATAGTTCTCAGGTGGTTTTGATTGACACTCATCAATCATCTGTAGGTATGTATCTCAGGGAATTCTGACTTACTATTACTAGATACCAGAGCACACCCTGACATGTATCTAAATTAAAAGTAGATATTTTCTCACATTTCCAATTAAACAAGGGGCTTTATATTTTAGCAGTTTGGCACACTGACAACAATGCACTAATTCATGAATACCGCTAAGAAATCTTTTACATATACAATACACTAAACGGACGTGTAGCGCTAATTTATGATTACCCCAATAATAACTCCATTGATTACGCTAAATTTTGAATATTTACATTTGCAAATATCTTTCTTAGATGAACCTATTGAAGAGAAAATGTGTTCAGTTCTGTGTGAATTTTATTTGGGGGTCAGAGGTCATAGCGCGACCAAATCACAGAGCGAGGTGATATTTTTTGTCTACATATTTCTGTCACAGTCAGGTGCAACTTGTTTTGAAATGTTTCTATGTTAATAACGATAAAATGATAAACAAAATGGATATTTTTCAATCACTAAATGTATACAATAAATCTTCTTTTTATGTGAGTAAGGTTTAGTATACTCTAATTAGTCTAAAATCCCACTTACAGCTGTACCTTTTTAACCCGAAATTCCTTTGGAGTTATGCAAACTAAAACAGGCGACTTCAGCGTATTTGACTTCAAATATTTCAAGAACTTATGAAATAGTTAGATTACTCTCAGCAGCGATCATTGTTTTTTCACTATATACAAATATTTCCTGAACTTGACTGCTAAACATGAATGTAAACATTCAAATGTTGGAGAGAAGTAAACTTTCTAGACTAAACAACGTCAAGGTCATTGCGCATCACAACATAGCTACGACGGCCCGTTCGTGTAATAAATGCAGTTTTACTCGAAATTTATTCCTCTTAAATGTAAATATAAGTAATAAACAACAATGTTAAAAAGTTCACTGGGAAATGAACTTTTAGTTGGTACATGATCAAATCTACTGAGAAGCCCTTCGGGCTTCACAGGATATGATCACGTACATGACCAACTAAAAGTTCATTTTCCAGTGAACTTTTTAACATCGCTATTTATTTCTTAAATACGCCAAATTATGTACACATACATTATCTGATATTATGTATAGTAAAACATGCTTATGATGAAGTGCAAGGGAGGAATGATTTTGCTTTGTTGTAAGTTTAGTTCATTAATATATTTGTCAAGTTTAGGCCAAAAAAAATTAATCAATAATTTCTCAGGCACCGCCGCATCAGTTCAAAAACGGCCGCATTGATCATTTTTGTTGACATATTGAGAAGGGAAATAACTCAATTTTCTATTTTTCCAACTTGTAAAAGAAAATCGAGTTATTCCCCTTTTCATAAATGCTAAGATAGACGTTTTTATTAGAAAAACAATATATTTCTTCTTAATTTACACTACTTTATGAATTAACTTTTAAATAAATGTTTAGAATAACATTATTTAAAGTTGAATACATATTAAAACTAATTTCAGAGAACAAAAATTAAGAAAAATTAGATATAATCATTTTATTGAACAAATGGCTTAAAAAAGGTGTAAAACTTGCTTCAAAAAAACAAAAAAACAAAAAAAAAAAAGCCTGCCTGCCGCATTGAAATTTGAATTTTTTGGCCTGAGAAACAATTTATTAATTTTTTTTTGCGTTACTATGATTTTATTTAGTTATGGTAAATAAAAATCACTTAATAGCTGTATAAGCATCAAAAGATTATAAGAGTGTTTTAC